GTCGACAAGTGTCCACCACCGCCGCCGCCAACGCCTCCGCCACCGACGCCTCCGGCACCTCCACCTCCGTTTCCGGTCCCGGCTGCGTTCTGTCGACCCCGCAGCTCCTCCAGCTGTCGCGTCAGCTCCTCGACCTTCGCCACCGCCAGAGAGAGCTCTTTCTCCTTCTCGTTAAACAGCGCCCTTATGCAGTCCAGGTCCGAGGCTGTGAACATCAAACCAAGAAGAACGTTACAACGGAAAGCAATATTTTATTTACGAACTGTTACATTTTGTTTAAGAAATTGTGCAGAGAAATCAAGGTGGAAGATTTATATCGTAAAAGGAATACTTTTCTTCTTTTTTTTTTTAATCGAGAAAACTCGTTCTTAAAGAATATCGTTCTCGAGAATGGAATAGTATCGTTCCAAGTCGATATATAACTTCTCGAGTCTCTTCTTTAGAGTTGCACGGCTTCGAGTATGAACCGGAAACTGATTCGATATCCCTACAAAGATGAAGCAGGAGTCTGTAAGAGGAGGTGAAACGAGTCGGTCGTTTGACCCGACAAAGCAATAGTTTGCGAGGATGAAACTTTCGTTTAATTATTTCCTCGCTCCTTTGATCCGTTCCCTGATTCGTTCGCGACACCTTTCTTCGTAGCTTTAATCTCCGTCTAACGACGTTATCTTCTTCTCTCCGTTGCTCACCGCACTTTAAAGTAGAAGTTATCGAAAACAAGAAACGTATCCGAGCTGAAATAACAAATAATCTTCTCCTTTCTCCCAAGACGAGAAAGTCGTGTACCTTCCAAGCAGAGGAATTCGCATCTGTGGATAAAGAAACGAACGCTTTCCTCGCTGACCGCGAAAATGACGATCGTTCCAAGATCTTCCGTCCCCGTTTTTCCAATTCGATGACTATCGATTCGTTCTCGGAACGAGAACGGCGAAACAATTCAACGACTAATTGCCCGATCGTAGCACGTCGACTCGTAACGCGAATCCCTGCCGTGTCTCTCGTAAATCATTCCTTTAATTGACACTTTTTCCAACTTTCCAACGTTATTCGCCAGTCGAGGTAGCTTTCTCGTCGCACGGGTCTTTGCCTCGCGCGAGTTCGTACATCGAATTATCGCCGATGGATGAGGATTTTTTGAGCTGCAGGAGAACTCGAAGCTTCCGTTATCGAATTTGAAAGGGAAACACGAAGGGCTGTACGGTTTTCTACTGAAAGGTTCGCGGAATATCTCGTAGGATTTGAATGGCCTAACGCATGACTTTCGTTTCGATTTTAGCAAGTTCTATACAAAAGAACGACGGGTATTAAAAAACATATCTCTCGAAAACGAAAGCTCGTTCTGGAAAATTCTATTAGCATTTCTTAACATTACGCGTGTACTGCTACTTACACGTACGATCCTTTCAAGAATGATTTCTACAAGCGCGCCTTTCTCTCGTAAGAATAAACGAAATTTAATCCAATTAGAATTCATTTTCAACAAGCTATTTATTCCACAATTTGATTCTCAGCAAATTAATCATGAAACGTTCATGCATCCTTTGATCTCTTTTATCAGTTGCCCCACTCGTTTAAACATTTACGAGCTCGTAATTCGCTATGACTTTTGTTTGTTCCCATCTCTCTCCGTTATTTTATATCATTATACAATTTTGCATTTCATAGATGTATAATCTTCTTCTTTTTAAAGGGTTTCCACGTCGATGAATAAATAAATAAACGAACAAACGAACAAACAAATAAACAACAGAAAATATACAATCGTAAAAAGAAATTATTCGATTGTCTTCGATTGTTAAATTTGTCAAAAGTATTTCGACTGTCCAGGAATTTCTTTCTCCAGCAAATCGACCAGATCGAAGCGTCCCACCACCCTTTCGATTTTCCGAACGATCGTTCTTTCGAGTTGCAACGCGGCTGTCTCGCGTTTTCCAGCTCGATTCGCTGGAATACATCGCGTTGGAACCAGTCGTCCGCGTTCCACTGTCTCGTTTCGATACCACCGCAGAAGAATTGCCTCGAAAGCTCGTAAACCACGCGTATCCTGGACGACCGAACGGTTGTCCTGCGGAAAGGACGATTCTTCGTCTCGTGTCCTCGATATATATCCAGCGAAGAAGAGCGCCTCGCGTGGAATACCGCGCGGCGATCATGATTCGACTGGTCTCCATTCTTTTATTTGTCTCTGGTGTTTCATTTCTTTGCAGCGCGCTGACGTTTATTGCGAATCTCTTCGTTGGATGTACCGAGGACGAGAATTTTAAGCTTTTCAGGTCCGCTGGCAGCCGTAGCTCCGCTTAATTAGAAAACCTCCGGAGAATTCATATACGAAGGACGGACGTAAGTCGTGGGTAAGAAATAAAACGCTCAGGAAGGTCGTCTTTTCGTCGAGAACGCGGTTCCAAATATTTCAGGACCTCAGAGGTTCAAATAATTCTTCAAAATCCTCCGTACGATTTTTTGGTTACAGCGACCGATCGACGATCTTTGTAATCGGCACTGAATATCGGTCAGAAAGTAAATTCACGAATTAACATTTAATATCGGTTACACACTAGGAATACTTTTGCAAGCGATTACAATTTCGCAATTTTATTCGCAACCGAAATCTTTAGCCAGAAGTCTTCATGAACCTCTCGCCGTATGTATTAAAGCAACGTGGCGTTTAATTTCAAGGAGACCCGGATTCGCAAAAACCAGAGAACTGGTTCGTAGGCCTTTGACCGCCTTGCCGTCATTTCCCGCGGGTGGAAAGCGGCGAGCAAAAACAGCCCGGGAAACGATGAGGATGGAAAAATGGAGGCGAAGAATGTAGGAGAAGGGACCTTTTGTCGCGCTGCTCCACAGAGGAACGATCGGTCTCAGCCACGCCTTATTAGACTTTTCATTTCCATTCCCCCTTCCTTCTTCGTCTTCTTTCTCTTGTCCTTCTTTTTCCTTTTCTTCTGCATTCAGCTTATTGCCTCTCGGCAACGCTCGTGAACCGCGAGACAGACATGCCGTGGCGAAAGCTCGTCCCTTTTCGAAATTACTGCGAGCTGAGTCGAACCGTACGCCGCGCCGTCGTGTATGCCTAATTTGGAAATTATGTGGCGAGAGTTAGCGGGCGAACCAAAATTTTCATTGTGGAAAATTCACTCTTCGAAGCGTAGGTACAGAGAGACGTAGCAATTTGTCGTTTTCGGTCGCGTTGCTATCTCGAGAATTGTAAAATACGTGCTAACTAGATGCGCAGCAGCTTTATAAAAGCGGAGAATGCTTAGACTAGTAGCGAACTTTACTCTTAACAACACGAGCACTCTAATTCGACGCTGAACATTCTCAGACTTTGGTCTCCTGCGTATGCTTCTGAGTTTCAAACGTTCCGTATTCCGCGAGTCTGCTCGCCGATTCAGTTATAGCTAGTTTGCTGAAAATCTCTCGAAATCCAGCGACAAACGGAAGGGATGAAAGAAACGATCGAGAGCTGCTTCGTTTTTACACGATAAACGAATGCGAACTGCGAAACGGTCTGATTAATTGGATCAGGTTGCGTAAAACGTGTTCAATTGATACTGTTGCACGATTAAAGATGCAACGGTCGTTAGCAGCGACGCGAAGAGATATTCGTTCGATAAACGATACAACAACAACAACAGTGTGCCGCGTTCGCATCGATGAATTCTCGTCGTTTAATTGTATGCACCAATTAAAAGGATGCCATTTAATTAAACGCAGGCCGCTGTATCGCGCGAGTTCCTCTCCGACAACGTTTGCCGATTTTTGCCAGAAATTTCCACATTCTCCGCGATCCTGACGTTAGAAACATTAAACCAGCTGGTTAATGATTATTTCTCTGGCCTGGTTTACGTACCAATCTCTCTCGAGTTTCGTTTGCATCTTTCATACCATTCTAAGAGGATGCTCGCTATGAACGTGAAAAAAGGCCACTTTCGTCGTTCGTTGAGAGGTACGTTGACGATTTAAAATCCTCAGTTGAGAATCTATTGCCTCGATGGATCTCGGAAAATTTAGCAACTCTCTTGCTTCGCTTTTCTTCCTTAAAGATTCAAGAGTTTAGATCGTATTTAGTGGAAGAGAATGAAGGACACTTTAGAAGCTGAGTTTCGTGTTCGAAAGTGTAGAAGAATATTATTAAGAATATTAATTGTTCGGAAATTTCATTTAGCACGTTCCGAAAAGCAATTTAATCTCGATGGAATGTGAGCTGAATTTTCGTTGGCCAATTCAAATTACGTGTTGCATAATCTTTTCGATCGTATTAATTTCTTTATACGATAATGAGAGATATTTATCCGCAACGGTATCTCTGTTCGTGATAACAGTCGATCGTCAAATTCTTCTGATAATTAACTGGTACTTCGTGCCGGCTGTACTAGGAGACTATTAATTGCTTCGAGTTTGATGATACGTTGTCACTGTGGCCGCACGTTGGCGGTGATTATCGATTTCGCGAGGTCGCGACGCACATAGGGTATCACGCCTCGAACACGTTCGGAGAACACCGGACCTTCCGGCAATTGCAAGTTCGATTGCACTATCGAAAATTGGCCACCGCTTCTCCGACGGCTATTACACTTCTTCGATTCTCCAGAGAGTCGCCGGGTTCATGCAAATTCGCGACGACTTCCCACGTCTATCAGCAGCGAACGAGGATTTCCGTTCGAGTTTTCACCGGAAACGGCCGTTTCCAGCACTCTGGAGTTTCTCGGAAATTTCGAAACTTCTCTCCGTTAATTTACTACGAACACGACGATAAGTCGAACAACCATATCGTATCTTACACGTGGAGCGATATAAGCTTTTAATAATCGACATGGAAACGATGGATTTTTAGAAATTTCTCATTTTCATTATCCCGTAGATTCGTTTTAATTTGAATCCAGCGTACTCGAGAATCGATTCGTTGTTTTTTAAACGAGAGTACGGGTTAGAATCGTCGAGGATGCTTTATGACTCGATTGCTTTTCACGCTGGATTTGATTGTCAGAGTTCGTTGCATCGAAGAGGAATATAGTCGAAATAAAACAATAAATCGGCCACGAAGATCCACCCTTGTTCTTATTGTTAGACTCACCCGTTTTCCCTCTCCAATGATTTCGCGTCGTGCAGGCTACCACGAAATGGCCAGCATTCTGTTATTTATACGCGGGCTGTCTCGAAGTTGGACGCAAGGGTTTATTGGCTTAATTCCGCTATTTTTCC